ATATTCCAAGTCTTCTCTGAGAAGCGAATCGTTTATGTCTCGCGTGCAAAGGAAAAATAATCTCTCTATGGCGCCTAAAGAAACCCATCTCTACGTCGGCGCGTCGTCTTGCAGCTTCTCTCCCTTTTCCAGATCGATATCTATTTCTCTCACGGTTTGTTTCTCACTATGTGAACATTTGTCCTAATTTCAATTGTTTTATGAAAGCCCTAATTTTACTAAATTGATTTGATCTTTACCATTGATTTTGGTTTTCTTATTCGATAAAGTATGGGTTGTTGAAATCTGATGGTGACGTAAAAATTATTGAATGTACTGGCAACAACACCAAATACTATGATTAACAATAGTCATACTATCCTTGTTTCTTTATGCACGTATTTTTTATCTTTTAATATTCTATTATTATTCAAGTCATTATAAGTAGTTTGCTGTCATTTGAATTTTTGTTCGGTGAATATGTTTGAATTTCCAATTTTCCATATCTCTCAACCTTGTATTTCTTATACATATTTTATCAATTGTGAAAATTGAAGGGTTTGAGATATCAGAAGCAACACTAGAATTTAGACAATTTGAGGTACATTCTCTTATTGATTATCACATCACGGTGGATGAGATCAATGTTTCACATATTAGTTTATGTTTTAGTTTATGATTAATGGTTTAGATATGCAGTAGTGATATTATGGTTCGTTATGTACTCAACGAGAGTTAACAGAGGACAAATATATTGTCTTAAATGCAACATTGGGATGTTTGAACTCGTTTAGTTATTAGCGCTGTTGGTTCTAACTATAATTATATTCATATTGCAGGAGGACTTGTAAACTTGACGTCAAAGGCATTCGATGAGATGATACGAGATCTGGTCTCCTTGTTGGAAATAAATTTAATGAGGTGTAGAAGTTCTTTATTGTATTTGATTCCGTTAATAGCATCGATTCAAAACGACAATCATCACTAAGTTAAATGCTCATACGAATATAGGATATGGCCAATATACATGTATTATTTGCATAATTTGCACACATTGTATCTTGAACCAATATTTTCGCACGTAGATAAGATTATACCATCTTTGGCGTAGGCATAAAGTCTTTGTTTCATGTAACCTTGCTAATTTTTTATGATATGTTTCTTGTAGAATGGTTTGATACAGACTTTGGGACTAGACATTCTGATTGGTTATTTTTCACAGGTAATTTGCAACACTATTCTCACCTCTCCTCTTTTTCATCTCTTATGATAATATAATTTGCCGGCAACGGAGATTAAACAAAACATAGTTTTAAATTGTGTAGTTAGGTAACTTACTATAAATAGTGAAAGATTGTCAAATACTCAGTTTCATGCACTAATTTTTTTTTTTATTTTCTTACCAGGGAATGGCAAGAAAAACGAGACGGTGGAAAACGTCATAGCAGTTTTAATTGGATGCTCTACTTGTGGTTTTGATGTAATTCTTCTGGGCTGTATTTTTAGTATTTTTTAAATAACTATCTAAATTCAAATTTAGGACTCGTGTAACCTAGTGAATTCTATCAAATTGGATATGTTAAGATTATAATTTATGTTATCTTCAGACTATTTTGATTATTATCATATTGTACATCAATTGGAATTTTATAATAATAATCTCATTGTATATTCATTGTTGTTTTCGTGTTTTCTGTAATATTAGTAGCATCAAACAAGCATTAAAAATCAATATAATGTAGCGTTTATGTTAAAAGATTTATTCATAGAATAATAGCGCTAATAAAGTATTATAATTACCCGAACATAGCATTTCTGACTGGCTATTAGTGGAAGTACAATAATAGAATCGAAACGCTATAAAAGAAGGTTATTGGACAACATGAAAACATCGCTATGAAAGAGAACATATATGATGGCGCTCAAAAAACGCTATTGAAAAGTCGAGGTCTATTATAGCTCCGGCAGACATAGCGTTTTCAAAAGCGCTATAATAGCTTTCCATAGCGTTTTTCAAACGCTATAGATGACGTTATATGGTGTAGTGGTTCCAAGCTAAGTTTATTGCGAGAAATAACATGATTGAGAATTGAAAATGCAGGATGTCCTAATCTATGATGCCACCCAAAGGTTGAAGTCTTTAAGCTAGAAAATGCAAGAATTGGAGTTGATACCGGCCACTCATAAACACCATCTTTAGCTCTGCCTTTCAAGAGTGTTGCCCCCGTGCGAAGCTCTTTCACAAGAAAATTGGATGGTAAGAATTCAATAGAAGCATTGTTGGTGTTACAGAATTGGAAAATGGAAATTAAACTTTTTTTCATGTGTGGGACACACAAAACATTATCTAACTGAAAGGTACTTGTAGAAGTAGATAGGGATGTAGAACCAGTGTGTGTTATGGGAAGACCCGTGCCATCGCCAATCATAATGTCGTCCGAGCCATTGTATGGAGTGTGCATTGAAAGATTAGCAAGATCAGATGTGACATGGTGAGAGGCACCACTATCCAATAACCATGTTGGTGGAGGAGGATTTGTCGAATGTGCAGCATAATGGGCGCGGGGCTGCCACATAGTCGTAGACTGATTTGTTGAGTAGTTGGATGATGTAACTGGGACAAGTCTGAACGAAGGACAATGTTTTGCAGTGTGTCCTTGTATCCGACAGATTTGACAATATCCCAAATATGGACGGAAAGGTGGACGGGTACTTTGATTTCCTGGAGCAGGCGGTTTGCCGCCGCTGGGTATTGGAAATCGGTTTGAGTTCCTTGCAGGAACTCGCCAAGAAGCGTTTCTGCTAGTCGGATTCGCCGTAGCAGGAAAATAGGTCGGTTGCGGTTTCGACATACAAAATGAGGCCTCAAAGTTGAGCAACTTTTCATGAAGCTCCTCAAAGGAGCCAATTCTTCCCCTTCGCCGGCGCCCCCCCTCCGCCTCCGCCGCCGCAGTCTGCCCCTGCCGCTCCTCTCCGCCGTCCGCCGTCCGCCGCTGCTCTCCTCCGCCCATCTCTCCGCTGCTTCTCTCCACCGTCAGCCCATCTCTCCGCCGCTGTTCTCCGCCGCCTGCTGCCAATCATCCCGCCGCCTGCTGCCGATCTGTTGCCGTCGCCGACAGCCCTTCTCAAGGTAATTTTCTTTTTTTTTTTAAATCTTTGTTTGTTTATGTTGAAAAGCTTGTATGTGTTTGATTATTGCGAATTATTTTTGGGTTTTTTCTCGGAATTATGTGTTTGTTTGTTTTATGTTGATTTGATGAGCCTGTGTTGCTCGGAATTATGCGAACTGTTCTTGGGTTTTATGTTGCTCAGAATTATGTGGTTGCTCGGAATCATGTTGCTCGGAATTATGTGTTTGTGAGTCTGTTGTGTGCTTTGGTGAGTCTGTTGTGTGTTTTGGTTATTTGATGTTTCTTTCTGCAGTTTGGCTACTGTGTCGGTGATCAATTTTTCCTCCTTTTTTTTTTTCGGGAAAATTCCGAAAATTTCTGAAAAATTCCGAAAATGAAGATCTCCGAAAAATTCCTAATTATGACTATAAAATATATAAATAAATAAATAAACCTATTTATTTGTTTTTTGTCGAAATAAGATGCTAAAATTTATGTTTAAGACAAGTTATGAATAGTAAAAGATCGAAAGTTGAAAACTTGAAACGGAGAATCGAACCGTAAATGGTAAGAGATTAACAACCATGGAAATAATAACAACCAAAAAGGTGAAAAAATGGAGAAGAGTTCTTGATTGTAAGTTGTAACAACCAATTTAGGCTCTAATGTAACTATCTGATCCATTTAAAAAAGAAATGTATTATCTGTCCCTTCTTCACACACACAAAAACACCACACAATTGCGTGTGTGTGTGTGTGTGTGTGTTTTTGTCTGATGTAAGAAGAGTAAATGAAAGGAACAAGACAAGCGAGTGAATAGTTTATCAGCGTGCCTTAAATGTTGATCTACCTAATTACATGATCTCAAAATTATTTAATTAACTATAAAATATATAAATAAATAAAAAAACCTTTTCGGAAAAATATTGAAAAATTGCTTTAAATTAGGGTAAATTACAATCACACCCTAAGGTAAAGCTAAATTATGAAAAAAATCATAATATTTGGGTAATTAAAACAATCCCTCGACTACGTATTGTCTTTGTTCACTCTTACGGAGTCAAATTTACTTACTAATGAGGGGGAATTTTTGAAAATTGAAAATTGATGTCAATTAAAAATTGAAAGCTTTCCCGTTGCGACTAATTTAGTTTTAGTTTATGAATGTAACTTTGAGAATAATTGTGATTTTAATAATTGTGACCCTTCCCAATTTCTAGGTAATCTTGTTAATTAAAGCACATGGTTGGAGTAGTATTAGCTTATTAGGCGTGTAATTCGGACCAATCTAATAGTAATTAGCCATTTCTTGTTTTGGAAGTGAAAAATTAGTTCCGTATCATTCAAACAAGAAATTGGAAATTTCAGAAATTGGTTTGAAAGAATTTGTTCCAAAATCAGAAAATTTTCGAATAAAAGAAATCAGCAAAATTCAGAAAATTTTATTTTTTGGTCACCGAAAATATAAAATACATAATAATATTGATATTCTAACTGTAATATTGGGTAAAAATCGAAATATTTGGATTTTTTTGAAATTGAAAATCGGATCGGAAATCGAAATCTCATATTTACTCCAATTTGGATCCAAGAAATTTCGAAAAATCGGAACTCGGAATTTCAGAATTCGGATTGAAAAATATTATTCTAAAAGAAAATGTTAGATCAACATCGGCAAAAACAAAAAAAATTGGTATCAATTTCCACCCCTGAGTAGTATACATATTTTTTTCATTTCGCGAAAAATAATTGCAATTTAAAAATAAAATACTAATTTCGATTCGATCTTTAATTTTATTTATTGGGCCAAGTCCGTATTAGGTCTTAGCCCAATGTTCTTTGCTATTGGATTCATGATAAGCCCTTTCTCGAATTAATGTGAGAGAGCCCAGAAGAAGGAAGGAAGAAAAAAGGAAAAACATTCATTCAGACGATGAGACATGGAATATTAAGCAAAATCAGAGTTCTAGACCAACCCAATACGAATATCCCGCTTACAGAGGTTAGCTCTGTTACTGAGTTTTATGTGGCATCAGCTCTTCAGAATTACATAAACTCAGATCATCCCTCACACGGCCGAAAGATCCATCCCCTCATACTCAAAACTGGTATCAAACCCAATGTCAATATCTCCATCAAACTCCTCATCATGTACGTCAAGTCCTCCTGTTTATCAGACGCGCGCCAGGTGTTTGATGAATTGCCTCGCCGAACTTTATCGGCCTACAATTACATGATATCGGGCTATACAAAACACGGGTTTGTCGATAAATCTTTTGATTTGGTTCGAGAACTGTGCCTCTCGAATGAAAAGCCCGACGGATACACATTTTCGATGATTTTGAAGGGTTCGACTAGCGGAAATGCAGGGTCACGTTTACCTTTTACGGGGTGTGAGGTTCATGTCCAGATATTGAAATCCAATTTTGAAGGTGATGATGTGCTTTACACCGCATTGGTTGACTCGTATGTGAAGAGTGGGAGGGTTGAGTACGCAAGAAGAGTGTTCGATTTAATGTTGGACCAGAACGCGATTTGTTCGACATCGATGATCACATGGTACATGAACCAAGGCCGTTTGGAAGATGCCGAGGATGTATTTCACAAGACTGTGGAGAAGGATGTGGTGGTTTACAATGCCATGATCGAAGGATACAGTAAATCAGTCGTGACGGCTAAGAAGGCGATACATATATTCATCGATATGCAGAGCCTAAATTTCAGGCCTACGATATCTACTTTTGCAAGTATTATCGGTGCTTGTTCTCTTTTGTCAGCGTTCGAAATCGGCCAGCAGATCCAAGGGCAGTTAATGAAAACCGAGCTTTTCACAGACATAAAGATTGGCAGTGCTCTGATAGACATGTACTCCAAATGTGGGAGAACTGATGATGCAAGATCCATTTTTGATTCCATGCCGAGAAAGAACGTCTATTCGTGGACTTCAATGATTGATGGATACGGGAAAAACGGGTGTCCAAACGAATCGCTCGAACTCTTCGATAGAATGATAAGCGAACGTCACACTAAACCAAATTACGTTACTTTTCTCGGTGCACTCTCTGCATGTGCCCATGCAGGATTAGTTGCCAAAGGGAGGAAGATATTCGAGTGCATGGATCGGGTTTACTCGATGAAGCCAAGAATGGAGCACTACGCATGCATGGTAGATCTATTAGGGCGTGCGGGGAGTTTGAACCAGGCGCTTCAATTCGTGATGCAAATGTCCGAAAGGCCTAATTCCGACGTTTGGGCGGCTTTGCTGAGTTCTTGCAGACTCCATGGCGATGTGGAGCTCGCGAAAATAGCAGCGAACGAGCTTTTCAAAGTGAGTGGAGAGAGTAGGCCTGGGGCGTATGTTGCTTTGTCGAACGCGTTAGCTGATGCTGGGAAATGGGATAGTGTGAGCCAATTGAGGGAGTTGATGAAAGCGAGAGGAATATCGAAAGGAACGGGGTTCACTTGGATTGGAACCGATGCTGGTTTAGAAGCTTTTCATGCTGGCCAGTCACTGTGATTTATCATGGCAGTATTATTTGTCAGGTAAAAGATTTTATTATGTTCTCTCCGGCAAGAACTCTCCTGTATTTGTAACTTAAGATTCTGCTAAATTTTTTATATATTTTTTTAATTGTTCTATAAACCAAAAAATGGCTATTATAATTTCTATGGGTGTGAAGGTTTTTTTAAAAGAAACCGCCTCTGGTGCAAAAACCCATCATCGACGAAGTATCAGTTAATCAACTTGAAAAAAAAATTCCGATGCAAAACCCACGACCAATGAAGAATCAGTTTCTTGCTCGTAAAAATCTTGGGGAGGATCAAGCCCGCATTTGTTATTCTACATCCAACAACCAAACACTCACGCACTTCAGATTTTTACACGCCTAATAGGCTAATACTACTCCAATCAATTGTGTTCATTTTATTTTTGTCTATGTATATCTTATTTCTTTTCTTAGGCGAGCGATGTCGGAGGAAGATATTTCTGTTGATCATATAGGTACCGAGTCTACAGGTACTGACGTGGTTGATTTCAAGTTTGACGACAAGGGTATTCCCGTTGCACCTGGGAGGTACAAGTTGGCGGTGGCTATTAGTAACGAGGTTACGCATTGGGATAATTTTGATCCATGTATTTCTTGGCCTAACCACAAAAAAATGGGCCGTGTCGAGGGATTGTGGAAAGCGTTTAAGGTATTTGTATGTAATTTTCTGTTTAATTTTCAATTGTATATTTTTTATATTTTATTTAGGAAACTTGGAAACTTCCTGAAAATGAGGCTACAAAAAAATGGTTCAATGAGACTGCTAACGGTCGTTGGAAAGATGCGAAAACTAAACGATTGAAGGCAGTCTTTGATAGAGCTCCAGACCTTGCCATGGCTAAGGCAAATTGTCCAAATAGGATTAGTGTTCAAACTTGGGAGAAACTATGTGATCAATTTCATTCTATTTCCACTCCTGGTGTTGATGGGAAGGTAAATTATATATATTTAATTTATGGATCATGTTTAAATATATTAAAGAGGTTTAATTTTTTGTGTTATTGTTCACAGTCCAAATCAACCAAATGCAAGGACTCGCGAAAGAAAGTCTCGACAGACCCCCATTGGGGTCGAACAAGTATCAATAGTTGGTCCCACAATCATGTAAGTAATTTGATCTATAATTTTAATTTATTTAATTTTAAAATAGATACTTACTTTATAATATTTTAATATAGTTTAAAAAATTGGGCAAAAATCCTACGGTGTTTGATACGTATAAGAAAGCATATACGCGTATTGATGTACTGAGGGAAACCGGGCCAACTACTAGTGAGGAAGGAGATACAGAAGAACCGTATAATGGGATAGCAACTCCTGAACAACTTCGCATTTCGGTAAGTGTAATGCAATTTTATTCTTCAATTGGTTGTATGTTAATTATTTATGTTTATTGTTGTCGCATGTTTATCATATGTAAATTATTTGATATGTTAAATTAGTACGTAGTTGAGATATGTGGATATGAATATTTGTTTTAAATAATGTTAAGTTGTTGCATACATGGATGGTTTTTTGGGGATGTTCATTTATTAGTTGTTATGCGGTCGAAATTTTTGCTAAACAAGTGTACTTAATCATTTTCAGGCTGATTTGTAACGAGTGTACGATGAGACAATTCGTGATGGAAGTGACGAAAGCACGGCCAACTCAATTGCGATAGAAAAAGTGCTCGGAAAAAGCAAAGGGCTTGGAATTAAGATTGCAACCACCACAAAGAGTTCAAGGTCGAGATTTTCTTCAATTTCGCCGGAAGTGCAAATGGAAATGAATTCAATGAAAGAGCAAATGCAACTTAAAGATGAAAAAATGGAAAGATTGGAAGCGGAATTGAAAGAAACCCGAGAAATTGTTAACACCTTGGTCGGCCGTTTTGGACTACAAGCCTCGACATCGACTCCTTCCAATGATGGTGGAGTATAAAAAGGGATGAACTTTGTTTGGTTTTTGAATTAAACTTTGCAACACTACATTATATGCTTTTAAGTTTTATGTACTTTTTTAATTTATGTTTTGTGCTACCTTGATATTTAATCCGTATAATTGATTTTAATATTTTCGATATAAGTGTTTTTTTTTTTTTTTTTGTACAACTGCTGAATACAGGTTGAATTTGTTAATTGAAAAAATAAATAAACCAGAAATTATATTAAAAAAAAAAAACCTAGCGACGAATAAATAAAACAAATCATCGCAAATAAATCGTGGGCCTTGCTACGAAAACGGCTATTAGTCGCAAACATTTTTCGCAAACGTAGCGACGAAACCGTCACAAAACGTCGCTTAATGTAGCGACGAAACGCTAATTCGTCGCACACGTTTGCGACTTATTATTTATTCGTCGCAAACAGTAAGCGACGAAAGTATAGGATCCGTCGCGAATATAAAAAAACATTTTTTCCAGAAAAT